ATAGGGCTCAAGGAAGTCTGGACTCATGACAGCTTTAAATCATTACTTAAGCACCCATGAAGATGTTTTAGACTCTCAGGGCCTCCAGAGCTCTTCTATCAGTGGAGAGAAAGGAAGAAATGATTTTGAAGAAACTAAATGCGAACAAACCCTGTAGGCTTTTAAATTGAGGACTAAGCTGTTGCAAAGAAAGATAGCGTTGCTGCTTTTCAGATGTGTTGTAATGACAGATCCAAGGCATCCTGGAGTTTTTGGGAGAAGGTAGAGAAGCTAAAGAAAACTTGCTCTGAAATTTTCTGAAATGTTTTTGAATTTCTTGTGTATTCAAACTTTCTTTTATTTGGAATAAAGGAATGTTTTAAAATGTGTAAATGCCTGATGCAAATTCTTTACAAAATGTCCCCCAATGATAAATGGACTGTATGCTGTCTACTTTATGTAAACAAGTAATTGCTGAATTACTTTTCCACTCAGTGAATCCTTTTCTCTGTTTTATAGAGGAGGTCGCACCATTTGACAGAGCCTTATACTCATCTGGTGTATGTTGATGCAATGTAGTTGGCATTAATTGAGTGATGCTAACCGCTCATTAATTGTTAGGTGAAAATCTGTCCCAAAATTTACTGGTAGTAGTCGACTGCAGATAGACAAGAATGTGAGAGTATTGAATTGAACAATCATCACAGAAGATGAAGAATGAAATTAAGTGCTAATTTCTGAGTCTTTATGAAAAGCATGCTGTAAGTAAAGGTCTGAAGGGTTTTGAAGTCTGAAACAAATCCCATGCACTTGTTAGTTCTGCTAGCAGCCCTTTGGGTTAGCTGCTGATGTGGAGAGCTGTGCCATGTTGTTTATTCTCATGTATGTTTTATTCTTTATTCTTCTTAAACAGGATTGTCACTTTTGAGTGTCAGATTAGAGCTCATTCAGCTAGAGCAGCATCAGCAAAAAAGCCACTCAGGACAGTCTTCTCGCCTGAGATTTCCAGGGCAATCACTTGAAATTTATCCTAGATTTATAAAACATTTGCTCAACATTGTATTGTATAGAGTATCCAAATATACCATGATTGCTTTTCCAAATTGTACCTTATTTAAGCATATTGTTCTTCAGTCACATTTGGGGGAAGTTTCTATCTTAGTCTTTGTTATTGGCTGTCCTTGATGCCCACGTGTATTATCCTATGCTGTTTTTCTAATATGGTTTTCTTAATGTGTGATTTTTCTGTAAGAAGATATTAAAGTTTTGCAGCTTGCTTTGAGCTGCCTACTTTGAAATGTGAAAACTGAAGCACAGAACAATAATATGTTGAGGCTGGGCACAGTTTCCTTCAGCGGTCTACACCCTTAGCCAGCCGTTGCAGCTAGGCAGAATGTACATGGCAATGGTTCTTGTTAGCAGGAGGCTGAGCTGTCTGTTTTACCTGGGTTAAATAGCTCTGCAGCTGCAATACCCTAGCACTGTGGTACAGGGAAGATTCACCACTGGAGGATAGGATTTGTTTCCTGGAAAAGAAACTAGTATCATTGCTGTTAATGTTCATTCATTGTGAAATGGCTGTGTCAATGTTGGAGAGCATATTGGTGGCTGCAGTCTCAGATTAAGTGAATTTTTAAAGAAATTGTTGGTTCTCTTGAAGTCCGCAGAGTTGGTCTTGTGGGTAGAAGTAAGGTTGCTCTGGTTCCTTAATTGTATGTCCTTGTGTTGTTGTTATGTATATGTATTCCTATGTATGTCCTTAACCTAATTATTTAGTTTTCTCTTTCTCTTTAACTCTACTGTGATTCTTTTTAAGGCTTTACTCTTTGGGTGTTCATGACGTTTGTGGTTTAACTTCGGTGCATGAAGCCACATTCAATGTGGATTTTGGTTCAATGTAGCTTTTATAGATAGGCAAGTTTTTTCTCTACAGACTTTAAGTAATTTTGTACTTTAAATACTCAATCCCTGTGTTGGGCTGAGGTTTTAAAATTTACTGTATATTGAAAACGTGGCTATATTTTGCTGAAGAACAAATGTTGTTGGCAAACTTAGTTTAACACAGTGAGTCCGTTAAAGAAGTTTTCCACCCTGCTAGAAGCTTCTCCCCAGCTATTTAAGTTATGTGACACTGGGGAAGGAAAGAAGTGTTAGTTTTTGCAGAAGAAACAAGGCGCTAAAGCTGTAAAAGGACTTGAATACTGAGGTGCTTCCAAACTCTTACTTCAGGTGTTTCAGTTAGATGTTTCACTCTTCTAAGCTCCTGTGTAGTTGGTTTTTAAACTGTAAAGGTACTTAATTGTACTGCTTAATGAGGATTTTCAGGTCTATGAAAATTTATTTTAAGGATATATGTAAAAATACTGCAGTCTCGAGAGTGAGCAAGTTGGTAGGTAGATCATACTTAAACCCCAGTGAGCTCTATGAAGAAGACATTGTGTTACGTCAATATATTTCATCTGGCAGATGGTCTGAAATGATGCCTTATGAATTATGCTCCACACAAAGGGATAGAAAGATCAAGCGGTTGTGTAGGATCCCTAGCTATAGTCAGTGATTCAGTAGTTGAATTGGAACCTCTATGTGGTGTGCGGTACCTGGATTTGTTTTTCTTCTGCATAAATCTAGATGTCCTAAATACAGTGCAAGGTATTACGAATGAGTTAGCGGTTTAAAATGTGTCTGATGGGGAAACACATCAGCACTTGACCTGTGGCAGTATTTTGAATGGAAGGATGGACTGCTGCTTTAAAATCTTCTGAAAAGAGGGTTTTTTTTTAAGCACATAGTTTCATGAAAAGATTCAGAACATGTCTGTATGAGGGTGAAGAATCATCCTTTGGTAGCCCAGAAAAGAGCGAGTAAGTCCTAAAGAGGAGTGTTTAACACTGATCTCCAAGTCTGCAGGGAAAAATCAAGGTGGTATTAAAATTAACTAAATTTGCAGCATGTAACTTGCTTAGATTTTAATCTTTCTCAGTTTAGTGTATAATAAGAATCAAGTCATTAACTGTACCAGAGAATGGCATGGAATTTATTATTTTGCACTGTGTGATATGGGGTAGTTAGCAAAACATCATCATGCTTAGCTAATTAAACTGGCCGTCAGCTCTAGCTCTTTGTATAACAGTAGAAAAACTGTATTCCCAGGCATTCCGACTAGTTTTTAATGATACGATAAGCTGGTCAAAATAAGTGTACTTTTTGTGCAAAACAGGAAGCATACAGCTAGCTAATAGTACTCTGGTACAACATGTCTTACATTAGTTACATGAAAAATTCTAGTTAAATATGCTTAAAGTGGAATTAGGAACAGGGGAAATCTTTGCATATGCTGTAGCTCAATTCATGTGCATGCAATGAATTACCTAGGTAATTAAAGTTGCTTGGTAGAATGAATGGCTTTAAGAGAGACAAGAAAATTGCTTGGACTTAAATACCTTAAGTACGTAATTGCAAAAAACAGTATGAATTTGTCTTGGTGTCTGTTGTTTCTATAATGTAAGTTATGTCTTGTGTTGTAACTGAATTTTGTTGCTCCAGGGTGTTTTGGAAGTGAGACAGCCCATCTTAATAGACTTTTTGGTAAACAATTTTTAAAAGGAAAACATGAACATGCTTTAAATGTCATAAAGCTAAAACAAATACTCTCTTTGACTTCTTCACATACTCAAACTGCTGGGCATTTCAGTTTGATTCTTCATTTTCTAGTTTAAGCTTGTCTAATAGGAACTCATTAAGCTACATTTCCATCTAGCTGAAAGAGGCATAATTTCGGTTATTGTTACAGTTCTCCATGCAGATGGGCACCCAGTGATACTACTGAATACATCACAAATATGTAGTAGCTCACACCTGATAGTAACGCAGTTTCTGGCTCAGTTCTCTGCACTTTTTATGGGCTGTCTGTACACCCAGGAACTCATCTCCTGGTAGAAATTTGCACAGATTTTTTCCATTTAAATTAAGTTTATCTTGGACCAGCTTCTATGCAGCTTTTCATTAATGTGTTGAACAGTGAAACAGCATACTTACAAAGCTTACCGATGGTGTCAAGGTAGAAGGAGTTGCAGCTCTTGGTAGACAGTTTCATAATTTGAACTGATCTCATTAAATTGCAGTACAGTCCCAAATTAACAAGCTGAAATTAATCTGAAATCTGAAGTCTGCTTTTAGAAAGAAGAAATGAAGTGCCTAAATTCACAATGGGGAAGAAATGGTTAACAGTATTGCAAAAAAAAAAGTTGTGTACAGTTATTCAGAAATTTACTGTGAAACTTTGTTCTATGGATAAAAGAAAAAAAACTGGGGATGTAGATTTATACGGCACTTTAATTGCAGCAAAGTGTGAACTGTGTCCACTTTTTTCAGATTTAGAAAGAATGTGTTTGCAGATTGTCATATCAGTGAGTTATGCAAAAGAGGGAATTTTTCGTGGATTATTTTTTCTCTATTGTGTGGTATATCCAGTGACCTGTTTAGCCCTATGATACTATAACCAATATATTAAAGCTGCATGCTATTTGATGGATTATTCATAATGAGAACAATTGTGAAAAATTGTTCTCCATGTACCAGTGGATGATGGGGCAAAACCAGAGTTGATTTTACACAGATAATTTGAGGAAAATTTTAGTAAAGGTTTTCAAGTGTGTGGATAATAAAGCCTACATGTAGATTACAGGTCTCCTTAGGTAGAATCTCATTTTCTATGATTGAGCTTGACAACGCGCTCCCAGGAATGGTTTAACACTGGGATAGTTCTCTGGTCGCTGGTTTTGTGCAGCAGTGTTCTACAGATGGGGTGGTATTTGGGTCGGAAAAAGGAGTAGTTACCTCCATGTGATTTTGATTCTTACTCCCTCACACATCCCACTGGATGATCCCCCTGCCATAGGTGGTCCTCAGATTGATGAATCAAAGGCTAATTGTGCATCTAAAGAACCCAGACCTCACTTTTAGAATACTCTATTGCTTTTGGTGTGATGCTGCCAAGCGTAATAGTTCTGCAATCTTGCCGTATGGCTCATTCTTCAGTCACACAAGTAAGGAGTAAGTATAATCCTGCACTTCTAGCAGCTGAAGACACCGAGGCAGAAGAATTGAGTATGCTTTTTGAAGTTCCCAAGTCTACTTTGGGACAATAATTGTATATATTTTGTGCAAAGACATGCTCAAATTGAGGTGTCTACCTTTTTTTCCTATGTGCTCTTAAAAGCTGGGTCCAGGTGACTCCAGGTAGTCAGACTGCCGGTAGTGTTAGTGTACTGAAGTATGTGGCTCACCGTTTCAGGTAATTTTATCTGTTTTGTTACCGAGACCTATTTCTGACTAGGAAAATGTTTTATCATAGGTTTTGAAACTGCAAAGTCTCTTGCACTGCATGGGGCATATGTAATCCTGGCCTGCAGAAATATGTCAAGAGGCAATGACGCTGTACAACGCATTCTTGTGGAATGGGTAAGTGAATGTATCTAGTGTCCCACACTAAGCTATGTTTTTCAAGTTGTGAAGTCTTTGTGCAGTACAAACAGTGAAATAGATATTACATTGCCGTGCAAGAATCTAAGGAACATTTGTCTTATTTTGTAATATCCTGCTCAGTCACCGGTGTATCAGTGATAGAAATTTTTCATTTCATATGACCATATTGGACTGCAAGGCTTGACATGCTGTTATCCATGTTACATAGAGATCCTTTGTGAGGGCAAAACTGTTTGAAAGAACCACTGAGGCATGTTTCATGGTTCATAGGACAGGACATCTGCAGAACCAAAGTATAACTATCTGAAGGAGAACATACACACTCAGATATTAGAGACAGCCACTATTTCGCCCATAGTTTTTATACTATGAGAGATTTCAGAGGATCATTCTTACACTTTTCAAAACCAAGAATGTTTCCCTCCTTTCCTACTCCACCAGGCCCAGCAGCACTGCTGCCAGGCAGTCCGTCTCAACATTTATCCTTCCTGTTTCTTCCCTCTTTCTTGAATTTTTCTTCCATTTTGTCATGCAAATACAAAGTGCTTCAACACTCTCTGTTCTGTTATTTCTCTTTGACTCTTACCTTCTCCCCTCCCCCTCTTTTTTTTTTTAATCTTCTAAGACCCTTATTAAAATTTATTCAGTGTTCTTAATTTATTCCTCCCACAATAATTTACTTGCTAGTAAGGATTGCAGGCGATTTTGTCTGAGCTTGCTATGACTGCTGACTTCCAGGAGATAATCTGTTGACACAATCCCATACACTTGAATGATAAACTGCAGGGTAAGATTCTTGGAATTTAATTTTTTTCCTGCTAAAATTAGTGATGAGTGTTTTGACTTTATTTCCCAAACTCTGAAGATATTTCAACTGATCCCAGATGATTCTTGGTAGTATTAATATTTACACATAAGTAGTCTTCAGATAATTATAATATTTATTAGTGCAAAACAAACAGTGCTTATTTACAAGTAAGTATTTCCAAATAAGTGCTGCTTATACTATTGCTAATTTTTGTAACCACAAGTTTCTTCAAGAAACAGTCTTTGGATTTAGGCCTTTTTCTCTTGCCCAGATGATATTAATGATTTACAGTAAAGGATTGTTAGGGCAAAAAATCTTCCTTTCCCCTTCAATACTTAACATTAATGCTCTCTTTGGTTTTCATTTCAATAGTGTGGAATTCCAAGAGAATTCCAACAGGGGCAAGCATAGTGTGTGTTGCTTAAAGTTTATCTGTCCATTCTCTTTCAATAGAGGTGGATTTGTTAATATGCAGTCTTTTGAATTTAGTTGTCCCAATACAGCTAAGTCTAGCTATATATCTATGTTTTTTATGTAACTAAAACAAGGCAGTACTGCGTACCTTTTATTTTAAAAATAACTCATTACCCCCTTAATTCTAAGCATAACTCTAAGCACTTTGAAGGCAATGGGAGTTTAGGAGTACTTCTCTTAATACCTATATTATCTCGCCAAAAGTTAATGAATTGTTAATTGAATGAAGATCACTGAAGGTCAAATTACTTCAGGAACGCTACATTTATTTGCTAACAGTTTTCAAATTCTAATTGTTCAGAAAAGAATCTCATCTGTAAACTGGGTAGCTGGAAAACCTTCAATGCATCTTTGTAATGGCTTTGTTGTTGTTTATTGAGAGGGACTAATTAACTTTGATTATTGCACTAATATTATGGCACTTTGACAGTCCCTCAGATTTATGACTCTGGGAAAATAAACAAATGAAATGCAGGTGCTGGAGCAGAAAGAATAAGTTATTACTGAACTTTAATTACTTGGAGTGTGTAACCAGGAGAGAATTAGTTGATGAATTACAAGATGCTTAAAATTTACATCAAATTGTAATCTTGAGGAATACAAACACGAAAACCTGCCCCAAAATCAGTTACTGAAAAACAGAGAGACAAAGATTAATTTGATTGATTGATACTAATACAAAACTATTGATGTAAAATATTAATTTTTAGCTTGTAGGTGTGACTACAGAGCAGGAATTTGTTAATTGAAAATTCTTTCCTAAAATTAAAGGGTTTAAGAAAAATGTCAACAACCTCTGCATATGGTTCAGATGAACTCTCGGTATGTAGTTGGAATTATCCTGCTATAAAGAACTTCAAAGAAGCCACAGTATTTTGTCTCCCTTGTTCCTAGGGGAAGCAAAATTATTGAAAGGAAATTGGTTTACTTTTCAATTTGGAACAAATTTTTTAAAAAAATAAGCTTTTGAGGATGCAGCCTTACAAAGCCCCATGTTCATGTTACTCAGGTAGTATTTTTGGCAACAATAGTGCTACCTACTTGCTTTATGTTCTCTTGTAAGTTTTTGAGATTAAGTCTCTGAGCGGCACCACAAATACTGGCTTCCTCCAATATTTTGAGGGGTGGAAATTTGGTAAATAAGTGCCTGCTCTTTGACTGAATGTCCAAACCCCATTTGCTTCTAATTTGTATGAGCTATACTTTTATAACTCAAAAAATCTTTGCCATAATGAATTGTAGTGTGTTTACATGTCACAAGTGTACTGTGTTGGTAATAAAATTCATATTTCTGTACTAATGTGTATATTACGGAAAGTAATATGTATCCTTTTAAGACTTGAGATTTAAATGTTTGACAAAAAACATTTTCTTTTTCATTCTTTTTGTTGTCTGACATGGAGCATTTGTAATTCCTTGTGAAGGAAGCAAAAGAGAGTCCTGCTTATTTTGCAAGAAGACAGAACAATTAAAAATGTATAAAGAAACAACTGCTATTATTTCAGTTTTTGATACCATTATCTAATTGATAATCTGTATTAACTACAGTGTGAAATATATATATAGGAAAATACATAATTCTTAAAAAAAAAAAAAAACCAACACCACCACCAAACCACAACAAAACAAAAAACGCCAAGTCAAACCTACTGTAATGCTGTTACACCATATGTAACAGCACTTTGGAAAACCATCCAGCTTGTTTCCTTAGTGAGTTTATTTGTGAGACCCTTTTCTGGAGTGCCATAAAATAAGTGTCTGCAGAAATATGGCTCTTCTTTGGGTCTGTGGCACTTTTAAATGAGTTGTTAGGCAAAAAAACCCAGTTTCAATCTGCTTTTACTGAAAAATCAAGTTTATAAAGAGAAAATGGGACAGCTAAATCACATGAAAAAATCAAATTGTTAAGATTCAGAGAAAACAAGAGCAGTAATGGGAAGAATAAGATTTTTTTTTTTTCCAGATGAGCTGCAATTCTATATGTTTAAAAAACAAAGTCAAACTGATCTTAATTGGCTGTTGGAGACAAACATAGAAAACTTGTTTTTTACCATCTTATGTCTAAAGAGCTGTTGTATAGAGAGTTTGAGCCATTTGAATAGGGATTATGCATATAAACTTGCTAATTATTTTAGATAACTGTTATTTGTTTGCAACCTGCAGTATTCCAGTTATTTTCTTTCTAAACTACAGCAGAATTTTGCTAATTTTGCAAATAGAAGGTAATTAACTTATGTAAAGTGTTGCAACAAGTTTTAATGTGACTGGTCTAGCTAGTCTGTCAAATACAATTTTTACAGAGAGTTATAGTTGAATATATTGGTACAATCTAATGTTTTATATATATACATGTATAGAGAGAGAAATGAAGAGAAAGTATGCAGAAGCAGCAGATAAAAAGAGAGATCAGTATGGCTTTACATTTGATATATTGAAAATGAATGTTGTTCACGCATGATGACATTCAATATCAATTTAAAACTGTTTGATAATTTCTTGCTCAGAAAAGAGGAAATTAGAATTCTAGAGTTATGATTCATTTTAATCAGAAAGAAATTGTCAAACATAAATCTCTCCTTGAGTAGTGAAAAGGCCTGAAAGCAGCCAAGAAAAAATATCAATACTTTGCAAAGGAGGAATGATTGTTCCAATTCGTAGCTTAATTGACTTTAAGGCTTAATGAAAAACACTACAGTGCTGTTTGTACACATACTTGCTCTGACGAACATTGAAATCTATGCTTCAGGAAGAGAAGCTAGGTAATTTATTTTACATTATTATTGATATAATTTTCTAATTGAGTATGAGCAGTATGTTTGGATAAGACTGCATAGCTCCAGATGTTAGCGGTATTCTCAAGAAAACATTTAAGAATATGAATGAATAAAATATTTCCTAAATCACAGTTTTTCTTGCCAAGAAGCTCTCACTTATTTATTCCTGTCAAATGGTATTTGAAGTAGATATTAAAAGATAAATTGTAAATATTTCATAAAAAGTATAATGTTTCTTCTGTAATTATTCCTCAGTATTAAGCCTACAGCTACATCAAAGATTAGATTAAACTGTAAAAAGAAAATGTGGGTTTACTTCATATGTAGAAACTTATAAGGTAGACATGTGACAAGAGAAGGGAGAACGGTTATGAAGAAAACCAACAAAACAAACGTGACTCCTTGCTGTATTCCTTTCCCCCAAAGTATTCTCCACCTACGGAGTGATTTATATTCTTGCTGATGAAGTAACTGAATGAAATTAAAACCTGATAAGTGAGTCTTTGTATTCCAATCGTAATCTTGCAAAGCACAGAGAGGAGAGAAGCAAACTGGGCACGTTTACACAGAACACAGGCAACAGTTCTCATATGTTGACTATGTGTATTTCCCCCTCAAGGAAGCGTGACTGATTTCCCACATAGTGTTTCGTCTCCACTCCTGTCCTTGGCTTATGATTTTCTGTCCACATGTGTGGAATACAGGATAGATCTGTAAAAATTCTTCTAAGTCTCTTGATACTAACAGATGCTAATCTTGATACAGAAGATAAAATTTCCTTTTCTATCTATTGGATGTTAATTTTGTGAGCTTTTTCTGTAAATCAGTCAGGCTATTAAGACAGAATTTCCATACCAAGACTATGTAAGATTACATTAGAACCAGCACAGTAAATTGTTCTTGGAATTTACTTACGTGAA